CTCTCTCTCTCTCTCTCTCAAAAATAAACATTAAAGAAAAAAATGATAAAAAGCCTCCTAGCCATGAAATATCAGTAACTAAAACTCCATTCAATTCCATTTAATGCCACATTTTATTCAGACGATACATTATCATTTCTCAAAAACTATTTTGTCTAACTTGTTCACTTTCAGTGTTCTTTTTTATTAAAAAGTAACTTAATATAATTGAAAATAATGCCTGTGTCAGAAAATTGTTCAGGAAAATCAACTGCGGTATTGTCTAATTATTTCACTCTACTCTTCTGGCAATAAAATCAGACCAGGAAAGGGATACAAATGCAATAAACAACTCCTTTAAAGTGGAGAAGCCCTTTACATTCCAAGTCTGGAGGCTGTGACAAGGGAAATGAAATGATCTGACACATAACAGACACGTATCAATGTGAGCTATTCTAGGAGTCTATTAAATTTCCTTTCTGCCCTTAATTTCATATTTTACAGTCAGGATGTTTACTTAGATTTTTATTATATTTTCCAGAAGGATGCCAAAGCCCAATGTCCACTGTGAGAAACCCTCACAAAAGACATTTTGTTCTTCTTGTGTATCTAGTTAAATGTAGTCCTCAAATAACACAGTTGCATGCAAATTTACAAGACCAGCTGTTAATGACCTAGAAATGAGGAACACAAACAATGAATTGGCAGAAAAGTTTTAATCCCAGCTCTGCTACTAATTAGCTGGGTAACCTTGGACATGTCATGGGTGCCCTCCAGACCCAAACAACTTTAATCTTTAGAGAAAAAATAAAAAGCATTTTATACAGAAAACCCCCATGTTGTTTCACAGGTCTTAAAATTCTACTTATTCTCTAATCTTGGGCCTAGATTTTGCTAGGTTTTATAATTTGTTTGAACTGGCTGAACAATGTTATTTTGATGACTAAACAGGCACATGAGAGCTAAGTTAAAACTCTAAAATGTTAGATTCATACACTAGAGAACATTTATCATTGTAGGTGGCTCTTTGACATTACCATAATTATAATGTGAAACTGACTAGTAAGATTAATCACTGTTCTTTTAAAATACTATTCTTCATAGAATGATTGTTCTAGGAGACTAAGGGTAAACAGAAAATGTATAAAGAGATCTGTATGCTTGCACTAAAAAGCACAACTTTCTTAAAACAATTTCAACACAGTCTTAATTGTATGCTTGAGTGATTATTTCCGACATTTTGAGAAAGCAACATATATTTACATGGCACAAAATATGAATTGTTTAATAAAAATATATGGTATATTGTACAAAAACATCTTGTCAAATAATAGGAAGCTGGGCCTAGACCCTAGAAATTATGGAAGCAATGGGATTGACAATCACTCTTTGTCTTTATCACTGTCTTTCTCAGAATAGTTTCTATTGCTGTTCATTTATTTGCTATCAATTGTTCTGTAAGTAAATGAAAATTTGCTTCCCTTCAACTGCGAACATCATGCAAACTGTCATTAAGATTAATCTTTTTTAATATTAAAAAATTTTTTTAATTTTATTTTAAAGAGAGAGAGAGTGTGTGTGTGTATGTGTGTGTGTGTGTGTGTGTGTGTGTGAGAGAGAGAGAGTGGGGTCTCAAGAGAGGCAGAGGGGGGGAGAGAGAGAGAGAAAGAAAGTGAGAGAGAATCCTAAGCAGGCTCCAGGCCCAGCCCAGAGCCTGACATGGGGCTCAATCTCATGACCCTGGGAACATGACCTGAGACAAAACCAAGATTTGGACACTCAACCCAGGTACCCCAATATTGATCTTGATATCATCACCTTTGCAGTTCTTTCTTGTCCCCTTGCTCCTTCCCCCAAATCCAACATCATCACCTCTTCTTTCATCATTGCTTTTTCACATCCTTCTGTCTTTATTGCTAGTATGCAAAAAGCAGAAGGCAAGAGAGAACAGAGATATGTGGAGTGGTGTCATAGATTACAAGAGTCTCTGAACCAGTCCCTTGATCTCCAGTCTCTTTCTCCAACTCTTAATCTACTCTTTGTTTTCGCTCCAGAGATGCTTTCTAAAACAAAGATGAAATCAGGTCATGCCTCTGCTCATTACCTTCCTGCTTTCAATAACAGTGATTGTAACAATATAATTAAGTTATTCAACTAAAATTTCACTATCTTCCTCATTTTCTTCTCATGTTTTTCTTCAAAAAGGCTGCAGGGCTGGGGTGCCTGGGTGGCTCAGTCCGTTAAGTGTCTGACTTTGGCTTGGGTCATGATTTCATGGTTTGTGGGTTTGAGTCCCACGTGCTGACAGTGTAGAGCCTGGAGCCTGCTTCGGATTCTGAGTCTCCCTCTCTTCGCTCCTCTCCAGCTCATGCTTGTGCTCTCTCTCTCTCTCAAAAATAAATAAACATTAAAAAATTAAAAAAAAAAAGACAAAGACTGCAGGGTTAATTGCAGGATGATGGTCTCACAGAAAGGAGGATGGGTCAAGTGGGAGAAGGCTTTGCTGCATGGAGGGGGCTCAAACTAGTGTAGTTTTGTGAACATTTACCACAATGATCTAGAGTTTAAAGTTCACTTAACCTGCCTCCAAATTGTCAGCAGGCATCATAAGATAAGTAAATGTTTCATAGTGTTTATGGCCCAGATGGGATTTCAATTTCTCTCTGCTTCCCTGGTAAAAAACTCAGGGGTATGGGGAGGAGTGTAGTTAGCAAAACAACAGCAACAACAAAAAATGCAGTTGTAGGGGCATCTGGGTGGCTCAGCTGGTTAAGTGGCCGACTCTTGATTTTGGCTCAGGTCATGAATTTCTGGTTTGTGGGTTCGAGCCCCGCATTGGGCTCTGTGCTGACAGCATAGAGCCTGCTTGGGATTTTCTCTGTCCCTCTCTCTGTGCCCCTCCCCACTTGCTCTCTCTCTCTCCCTCTCAAAATGAATAAATAAACTCCAAAAAAGGGGCACCTGGGTGGCTCAATCAGTTAAGCAGTAGACTCTTGATGTTAGTTCGGGTTATGATCTCATGGTTTGTGGGTTCAAGACCTGTGTCTGGCTCTGTGCAGACAGCTCAGAACCTGGAGCCTGCTTCAGATTATGTGTCTTTCTGCCCCTCTCTGCCTCTCCCCTCTGACTCTTTCTCTCAAAAATCATCAACATTAAAAAAATTTATAAACTTAAAAAAATGCAGTTTTAACAAACTGAATAAAAAATCAAAAGGTGAATGAAACGTGGCTTGCCTTTAAAAATCATAGAAAAGTGGGGTGCCTGGGTGTCTCGGTTGGTTAAGCATACAACTTTGGCTCAGGTCATGATCTCACAGTTCAGGAGTTTAAGCCCCACATCGGGATCTGTGCTGACAGCTCAGAGCTGGAGCCTGCTTTAGATTTTGTGTCTCCCTCTCTCTCTGACCCTCCCCTTCTCATGCTCTGTCTCTCTCTCCCTCCCTCTCTCTCTCTCTCTCTCTCAAAAATAAACATTAAAAATTTTTTTTGAAAAGAAACTGCCCTCAAATGATACTCAGCCCCAGCAGTTATAAAAATAACGTTCATAAAACTGACATTAGTTTGCCTAAATTTAAATTATGTAAAGAGTTTACCATAATATAATGTTTTTACTTTCACATTCAATAAAATTAAACAAAAATCAGTATTACTAAAATCTATACAGTAATGACAATTGAAAATAGTTGCACTTTGATTATAGAATATCTAAAAATATATATGATAAAGACTTCCAGCTTAATCTCTGCAGCAGCAGAGACAGAAAGACACAGAAGACTGAGGGAGAATGAAATGAGGGACAGGGCAAAAAGATCAGTGGTCCCTTTTTTTATGCAAACATAAGGGAGATGGACAAACTGACATACGATATATTTAACAACTGGTAAGATTTAGCCTTAGACTAAATTGCTGTAGACCATAAAACAGTAAGAAGGCTTTGCCCATTTGTCTACCTAGGCATAGGCACCCTTCTTCTGTCAACTTGTTATTTGGTTTGGCAAGGCTGAAACTCTCCTTGGTGTGTGGGGCCCCCGTGTGGGAATGGGACAATCTCCATAAGTTGCTCAGATATGCTGATTCCCATCCTGGCTTCCTCAAGTCAACAATACCTGGACTTTGGTTTCTACTTGTTTTGACCAAGTTCTGTAGACAGAAAAGGACAATGAAGGACTACAAGATAAAGCTACCAGGGGGGAGAAGAAGTCTAGATTGGTTCCATATAAAAGCTCATGGGTTGGTGAAAGACGGCTGCTTAGGCCACAGCAAATGGTTGCAACTGGATAGAATCCAGTCTTAACATAAGCCCCAGATCAAGGATCCCTGCTTGATGTCTCTGCCTTTCTCACACAGATGATCCCAGCAAAAATGGGTGGTTTCCTATTTGGGAACCCAGGACTACATAGAAGAGATGATCACACAGGCATGACAGTAAAGACAGAACCCCAGTGTTGTGTCAATACACTGCTTTGTACTTTGCAGGGTTTGTGTGTGGGTCTGTCAAGCCCTCGTCCCAGCAGGTGTAATTCCTCAGGGACTAGGTCTTGTTTCTACTCCACCTTCGTCTATTCAATCTGCCCCCATCCACGCATGAGCAGAAATGCCTTTAGATTTCTGGCATTGGATAGCTTGAATTTGTAGGGATTTTGTAGCTTTTCCCCTAGGCTAAGAATTTCTATGAACATTGATGGAATTTTGTAAACTGTTTGTAGTTTCAAACAGCTATTACATAAGTCATCTCATTTTTTTATTTGGAAGTTCAAATGGAACAGCCAAAATGAAACTAATGGCCTTTCCTTGATAGCCGTGGTAGTAGAAACGTTTCTGTTTTACACATGGAAAGCTATCAAATTGAGGCCTAATTACTTTACGGTTTTCAACAGGTGGTTCTTAATGGCAAAGCAGTTATCACACACTTAATAACAACAGGAGCTAACTAGGTGGACTTGGATGTTTGATTATCTATTTAAGCGTGTAATTGCATTTTTCAATATAATTAGCAATAAATTGAATGTGTAAGTTAATAGATGTGTTTCCCCACATAAGTCATTGTAATTCAATGCAATGCTTTAGTTTAAAGGCATTATTTCTCAGTTGATAGCAATATAATTTCATGATTACTGTTTTCCTTAATATTTTTTCTGATAACAAAATATATGTAATTAAAAGACATGTTTTAATAAGTTGAGATGCCAAGATAAGTGTAATTATATTTTGATTAATTTAGACAAAATTTATGGAAGTAAACATTCATATTCTAATAGTTTAATTTAAATAATAAAATCAGCCTTCTTACTCTGCTATTGACAATTAACCCTAGCATTTTCTGGGACTGTATTATAAATGAATATAAAAAAGGGATTAAGAGGCATTTGATTAAACTACTAGTCACACTATAGTCACTATTTTTCACAAATTATCATGTAGAGCAGCTATTCAGTTAAATCCTGGATTCTTTTAAGGAAAATATAAAACAAGATTTAACATTAATATAAAATAGCATTTTTCCTCCTAAATGGTAATTTTAAGTACAGTTAAACTATTCTTTACATATTTAGTAGGCTATATTATTTTTCATGTGTAAATGATTCTGTAGACACCAGGTCAATATAATACCTCTTTCTAATTACCATTATTTCATTGTATCTGCATTCAATATAGCACATAATTGGTACATAACTGATACATGTGGGGCTATCTTCTAGTGGTTATAAATTCCCTCCTCAGGTCAACATATGGCAGTTTCTTTCTGGAAGGGTATAATACTATAAAACTTTTCCTCTAAAGGCTGTCTTGTCTCTCTCTCTCTCTCTGACTCTCTTCCTTCCTCTGTTCTTCCATCCTTCTTTTCCTTGTCTCAACTTTCTCTCCTTTGCTGGCTTTAAAGAAGCAAGCTCCTTGGGGTGCCTAGGTGGTTCCGTTGATTAAGCATCTGACGTTGGCTCAGGTCACGATCTTACTGTTTGTGATTTCGAGCCCCACATCGGACTCTGAGCTAACAGCTCAGAGACTGGAGCCAGTTTCAGATTCTGTGTCTCCCTCTCTCTCTGCCCTTTCTCTGCTTGTGCTCTGTCTCTTTCTCTCTCTCAAAAATAAGTAAACATT